ACATCCTATAAGATTACTAAATAACTAGGTTTCATGACTTACCGCCAAAACCTGGACGAAGTCGGATATCGTAATCTGACAGTAACTCGGCCAACAGCGAGCTGGCATTTGCATATGTTGTTCGAGTCTTTTCCACCGTAGAATTCCGCAACGAGCGAGCACCACTACGGATTCTATCCACCTGTGTCCGTTCACCAGACCTGAAGCGATCCTATACCTTATTTCCCTAGAATCCTTTCTAGAAAACCTACCCTCGGGTGAATGTGAAGGAGAACAACAACAATGTGAATGATGCAAGAAAAATTGATTTTGATCCAGTACTCATAGGGATAGGAATGCTCATTTCATCACTGGCAGGTAAGGGTAGCAGTATTAAGAGATTTGAACCTAAATTACGGAATTTGATAGCATAGGAAAAATTCCTTTTGACGACAGATCAACAGAAGAGGTAATGGAGATTTTGGCAATAGCGGCAGATACACATCGGTATCCTTAGAGCTCGTTTCTCAAATTAGAAAACATAGTTGTTTTCAAAGTAAATGAGCATAGTAAAGAGTTCAAAAAGAATAGGAGATTACGCCAGCATTTTGCAAGCGGTAGTATGTCCAAGCGTAGACCAAAAACCAATGGGAATTGAAAGATCTAGTGAAGTTAACTGTATTTATTCATAGTCAAACCATATGTTCTGTTATAGGCATGGATTTGGATATGAAGTTAAGATTATCTTGCTTTGGGTGAAGTTACTGATATTTATAGAAGACGGTCTAAATGATAATATCACTTCAGTGTGAGGTGCGAATCCAATGCTTATAACCGACTCTGAAAACACTCATTTTGCTTTATTACTCATTTATCAAGGCTAACTAGATGTTTTGATGACCAACATCAGCTTTTCTGAGAGGAGAAATTTAATTCTAGAAATCTAGAAAACATCGAATGAATACAGGTGGATAGCGAGCGATGACAGATACGATAGCTTAGACATTAAAACGGAAGTTTTCTGATATTGAAGTTTTAGCAAATTGTAGGAGAAAAGGAGCCCCAACCCGATGATCTGAATGGAGAAATAATCATTTTGAATGTCTTATATCGCCTTATACTTCAAACTTTAGAAAATAAATAGATAGCGGATCTGGACTGATTCATCGGTGGCAAAATAGGAAAATTAGAGGGGTTGATTTCTTATCTTCAAAAAAAGTAAAACTTCCTAGTGTTGGGTTCAAGGTTACGTTAAATAAAATTTTGCATTTTGCAGTCAAAATGGCAGGCGCATTTTTTTTGAAAAGTACTTAACCTTGTCTTAATTATTACTTGACTGCAGTTACACAAAACTGTTCAAAATTGTTGAAAATTCCGTACATTTCAGGTGCTCAACACTAATACAATAAATTGTTTGGTAGTTTTCGAATCAAAATAAGATTCTTTGCAAAAAATTACTTTAGAAATTCTAAATTCTACGATTTTAAACAAAAAGATAGGCGATAGTGGATAACCCCCCAAAAAATAGGATTTTACTTACAGTATTGCCACTTGAAGGTGATACAGATTGTCAAGAGGTAATCGAAAGGATGCCCACCCCCTAAGATAATGGCTATTTAGCGCCTTGAGAAAAGTGCAAATTTAAATGACTTCTTACACCCATAAATAGAGCTTACAGTAC